AGGTCACTGTTCTCTGTGAGCACACATCAAACGGGGGCCTCCAGTGCAGCAGTGGCTGGTTGTGCGACTCTCCGTGCTGCACCCTCACATGATGTGGTCCATTTTTCCCTCCTTTGTTTAGGTGACATTTTACCACCTCTTGCTTCCACAGTACGCAGTAAAGAGAGGAGGTAGTACCACACAGTGGAGCATCAATTAAAGAGGTAAATAAGGAGGACCAGGGGTAAAAAAAAGTATTGTTTATATAAAATTAATAAAACATCCAATAAAAATATCTCTAAACATTTCAAATCACTAGAAAGCATTTCGCGACAATGAAGATATCTGCACCAGACATGTAAATGAAAGAAAGGAGAGAGAAAGAAACCGTCCAAATATTCATGTGTGGTGGCAAATCAGGACTCCCTGTTAGCGATTTACTCCAAGTCTCCAGTAGAGCCTGCCAACATTATTCATTAATCACCTTGAAGTGTTCTGTTCCAAGACGTCCTGTTAATACATGGCAGGGGTTTTGGAGCAGAGCTCGGTGGCATGTGGCAGCAAACAATTCCCAATGTTTTGTTTCTCATTTAGTGAATTCGAAGGTCTTACATAATCTGGAATTCCAAACTCAAGATTTCATTACAAAAATCACATTTGGAGGTTATTCAAGGATGTACTGATAAATTCCCACGCAGGCCAGTATACAAGCCAGTCTCGCTGTAGTTTCTCTACTTCAGTGACCATGAGATAAGTGTTTTTCCACTGCCACAGTATTACCACTTATCAACACATTCTTTCTTTGTTGCAGGGATTAAAATCTTAATCTTTGTTCCATCAGTTTTGGGTGGAACTATGATTCACACAACAGATCTGTCAGGCAGTTTGAACTGAAGTAAGTACTGTATAACATCATCATCATAATGCAGTACGTCCCAAGTGTTCTATTACCGCCAGTCTTCATGTAAAGAACACAACAGATGCACATTGCTCAGTAAACCTTCTCACACATCGATACATTAAATCCACAACACCAACTGATGAAAACAGCACTGTTGATATTGGAGTTGCAGCAAATTTAGTTATTTTCATATATTGAAATTCATTTGTATTTCATTTGAAGTTCCATCATCAGCTCCATAACAGTTGTACTACATGTCACTCGCTCAAGTGTCTTTGTTTGATTTTTACTTATTATTGATTTTTTTTGTTTATTATTGTTTTGTTTATTCCTTACATGCCAATAATATGTGTACGTGTATCGTGACTTGTAAAACATACTGCAATAGAATGCACACCATCCCTGACTAATTTAAATAGCGACTTTAGTACATAGTAAATGCAACTGAAGACGTATTGTATATGAAAGCGTTTTGTGTAATGTATTTGAGTGCACAATGAACATATGCGGTATGGAAATGCCTTCACACTACATTGTCCTTTAACGTAAATGTGGACAAAACAAGTTTGTTGGGCACAGCTGATCAGGTTCAATCACAAGTCAGACTGTGTTTCCTTGGAATAATTGATTGAAACAATTGAATCACCAATGAAATTATCTGATAATTTTTTTTTTCGCTGCCTCCAGTGAGTGAGCCAGTTATTCCTGGTTCAAGTTTAAAGGTAAAAATGCAGTATTCTGCAGCTCACAAACAGTCACACAACAACATCTAGCTACACAAACTACAGACTGTCAGCTGCAGCTTAATTCTAAACGCTCTAGTGTTGCTTTTACAGAATGTATGCTTGATAAAGCACGTACGCCTTCTTAGGCTACAAAACAATTGAGCTGTAACTAATAGTGAAAATGAATGATTTATGGGCCGGGTCCAGTGATGAAGGTCATTGTCTGCCTCGTCTGATGAGCGGATGGTTGGATAGAGAGTCTCCCTTCATAGCAGAGGAATCCTGCTACGGACGAGACACAAGCAAGTCTTTGGACTATGGAGAAGCATTTGTGGGGGTTTCTTTGAATTGCAGGATTTAGAATAATGACATTAGCAAATTAAAAAATTGTAAATTAGTGCAGTGTCACATTGATTAAGTTTGTAATGTAATTTCCCACGAATAGGTGGAAACCCAGTGTACTAGAAATAGGCACAGCTTAAAGACAAACAAATAAGGAGACAAGCATAAAGTAATGTATTTAAATATTTATATAGATCCGTTTGATTCTAATTCAAGTATTGAATTAAAGTTACTAAATTCAGAAAATAATCTCAAATATACATTGTTTTCTTGTAACGTGCATGAAATGTGTAAAGTTTTTATTGACGTTGAAATAATTGATAGATATTATCATTAAAATAATATAACTAAGAATAAAAAATTACTGAGAGAGAAATTAGTTTTAAGAAATTAGTTTAAATCATCAAGGGGAAGTTTTTTTTATTTTTATGGTTTAAAAGGTGCTTGTGGGTGAAGTTCTTGTTACCAGAGTGAGAATTAAGGCGTTACCCATGTGAGATGTCTCAGCTTGCTCACAAAAGTAAAAGAATCAATGAATGGGGAAGGGGGTGTATAAAAAAGCAGGGAGCCTGAGAGCTCTATACACTAAGTTAGCCTTTATTAAAACCCTGAAAACACTGCATAGATTAATGGTTTAAGGGGCCCAATCCACGCAGAGGGAATTCTATAAAGTAAGTCCCACTGTTAGAGCATAATAGAGACCCTCTACCATGTACCTGCAACTATAATTCAAGGTCTGAGGGGCGACACAACACTTAAAAAAGCAGGAGCATCTTGACAATAACTACAAGACTACAGAAATGTTCTGTTTTTAAAGTTTACCTATAAACCAGATGAACAGTAAAGGGAAGTGTCGAAATTATACAGATTAGCTACACATTGTCATTTCTGTTTCTTCCACCCACAAATTTTTTAAAAGCGACTTTTGATTTGTTTTTAAAATATATATAAAAAATAAACCTTTACTTATTTATCATAGTTTCATTTGCCAGTGAATTCTACTGGAAGTTTTGAAATTGTTGACCTACTTCAGATTGTTTTGGAAGCACAGTCGGTGGTCTCAAGGCACTTCACACTTTGGAAATTACCATAATAAAGGCTGAAAAGGTCTGTCAGATTTTTTCACATCTGAAGTGGTTTTAATGAAATGACATTCAACTGAAAGTGCTTAAATCTGTCTCTCAACAACCAAGCATTAAAAAACTAAATTTATAAAAAACAATTCAAGAATGTTATCATAGAAATTTTAGCTTAAGTTTAAAACTCATCCCTGAAGTCTTTAATGTCTATAAACAATTGGGCTTTTGCATTTTTGAAAAAAAAAAAAAGATTACAATGAACAAAAGTCAACTTTTTCTGACTTTTTGGTACAACAACTTTGCTCCAGGAAAAGCTAGAGATAACCAACTGAGGTNTATATATCGAACACAGCATACATTGACAGGGGTAAAGAATTATCGAGGCAAAAGCAAAAGCCACAAAGTGCTCACTTCTTCTATTCATTCTACAGAAAATAATCCAAAGTCCAGGGTCCATTAAATGGCCGGCTTGATAATCTGTATTTACTTTATTGAAGGCTGAATTACTTATTAATTTACTTCATTTTTTTAATCATTTGTTTTCATGTAAGGTAAAATGGTCATTGTAGATATCCATGTTTACACTTTGTGGTTGATTGATCAGGGTGTACTGAGGATTGCTCAACGGCTGCTGATAATGGCATCCAATCGTCCCTGCAATATTAAAAAGAATTGAATATTAAAATAAGAACAAAATTTAAAATACTTTAACAAAAAATCCTTGTGCAACATTAATTTTGTTCTGGGTATTGGACTGTAAGGATTTCTTCTACAGCATGTGCTGTTGGGTCACAAGAGCTTGAGTACTGCAATCAGCAGGGGGATTATATTGTCTGGTGATTCTACGAATCTTTCCCAGGAGCTTAAATTGAAAAAAAATTGGGGTTTTTTTGTTTTGTTTTTGTGTTTTCTGACTCACATATCCCTAATATGAAAAATAAGATTCTGTCAAGTGTATTTTTTAGTTTAGTTTCTAATGGCGCAGAGCAGTATTGGCAGCAGCTTGAAGTTCCTCTAACTGATATTGTGGACAAGGGTATTTCTATTGCTTTTTTTTCTTTTTAACACTTCTTCCTCTTTTCTTACAGCTGATGGCTGTAGCTAACACATTAAGGGGCCTACTCTGACACAAAGCTGTTTAAAGCCTCTTTTAGCACAGCCAGGACAGTACGGTGTAGACTTGATAGAGTTCTGCAAGCCAGCCCTGGTTCCCTACAATAATTAGGC